CTTTTTTGCATTTGTGCATTGTCTGAACAAGTAGCGAGATGGAACATCCTGTCTGCCGTAATACGCAAAAATGTACAGGTTGCATGGATATTAAATATGTAATAAAACAACTATTGAAATGTCAATTTGTTGATTTGCCTTTTTTAAGTAAAATGAAAACAACAAGAAAATAGCGAGTGACGCAAAAAATTGTAGCATAGTCCATATTACAAKCCCGGCATTTTGAATCGGTTTGCAATGTGTCATGGGTTCCGATCCATCACTTACCGTRGGAATGTTACGATTCACTTGGAAGTATTTGCACACTTCAACATCGTAATTTCTCAGCTCCTCGATSACTAATGATGGATAGGCACAGGCTGTTTCGACTTGATGATTGTGGAAATCGTTGTACCTGACAAATGATTTATGATCTTGATTGAATGTTTATATGAATTATTGATCTCTTTATTATTAGACTTATTGATCCATCGATTGATTGACAGATACATTAAATGATGGAGTGACTGATCATAAGATTTTTAAGTAAACGATTGATTGATTGAGTGATTGATCAGGTGATTGATTGATTGATTGACGGATCAAATGATTCACTGGTCGATTGAGTGATAAATTGATTGATGATTAATTGTTGAACTGATTGATTGATTGATTGATTGATTGATTGATTGATTGATTGATTGATTGATTGATTGATTGATTGATTGATTGATTGATGAGCAAATTATTATGTTTAGTTAATAATTCTAATGATAACGTTTTTAAATAAACAGTTTATAATAAACAACAGCAAGGACATATTAATACAACGTTTTGGAGTTGACTTACGCCATTTTCAAGAAAATACTTAAACATAGTTATAAGTTAATCAAATTTTTAGCATTTCTTTAAGGTATTACTTCAACTCACATTTGTTTGATTTCACGTAGGAGATTGAGTGCTTGATTGAGACTGAGCGTCAAAGCCTGAAATCAAATGCATAGTCAGTATCTAGAAGGCGCAGGAACAGTATGAGCGCTTTGGAAACGGAAACTTGTGAGCGACTTTACAAAATAACAGATTGTTCGGCGTATAATTACAACACGCTACCTAAACATGCATGTGTTGTAAGTACGAGATATATGTTCATTTCTTGTCCTTTGCGTCAAGAGCTTGCGTTTGTGTTACGTKTTTGCGTTTTATTTTTTACTGATTATACTGTGCTTATGCTGTACTAGTTATGTTAACTGTTGGCTTTGTGTTATTGTTCTTGCATTACAATTTGTTTGTATTGTGCTTGTTACGCTACGCAATTGCAAGCGTAGAACTTGAAATGCAATTGCGATGCATTGTGTTCAGATTGCGTTGGTTATGAGCTGGAGGTTTGCTTCCATTGCGCATACCCAGTCCTTTAAGCGTTGACGGCGTTGTATATGAAATATGCACGTTGCATTGCTCTTGCGTTGGTAACTGTAGAATATGTACTTGCGTTATATTTGAATTGGTCTTGARTAGTGCTTTGCGTTACACATTAGATTTCGCTTGAATTGTTCTTGTGCGGGTTGCTAATAAACAAGGGTAAAAARACCATGTGTTTTTTAAGGGACAACGACCGTTTACGTACATTTTCCGTAGAATCCTGTCTCATCTTGTCCATAATGATGTCAAGGTTAGCTTCTTTGATCTATCAACAATAAGACGTGTACGTAAGTGACAGTRCATCAAAAGCTGTGAGTGACTATCAACTATACCTGATTAGCGCCGTCGTGATTCTGCCGATTCTTTTCGAGGATTTCCTGCCATAAAAAATATCAAAAAAACCTTTAAATTATTTATCTGTATTAAATATCATTTTTATTATCTAAAAATCCAGAATTAAGAGCTGATTTTGGTCCCCTTCGCAGTCAACCCTTTTGCGGGCTTCCTACTTTGGACAGGAAAAAACTGTAGGAACAACGGCATTTGCTGTTTCCTGACAACTTGTAGTCTTTTTCGAACAGGTTATACCAAGGAGTTTGAGCTTTGTATGTACCTGCAATGCTCGTTCCTGTCTTGCAAGGCCAATCTCATGTAAGTCCCACAAGTGAGCCGCTCCCTGGACGAACTTAAACAATGACTTAACCATCATGTCTTGGAAGCTGGTCAGGTTCTCCAATGAACGCTGTAAGGTAAGAGGGATATTACAATGTTAGATCGCAAGCGTTGAGCGACGAGTGCTCAAGGAAGGGAAGGGAGAGGGAGTTTTTAAGAAGGAAGGACTAAGAAAAGAAAACAGGTAGAAGGAAGAAAGAAAGRATGAAAGTTAAGGATGAAAGAGGAAGGAAAACTGGAACGAAGGGTGAGGAAAGAAAATCATTTTGTCTGGCTATAGATCTTTACAAACCTCCATTTTGTCAATTTCATGTTCATATTTTGTTTGYTTCTCACCAACAAGAGGCAGGAAATGCTCATTTACAACCTGAATGAGAAATGAAGCAGATACCGTTAAAACAAACATACAGTCAATTCCAATAACGTTGTTCAGTTGTAAAGACAACCACAAAATCTTCTTTATATATCATATTTGTATTTTTTGCAAGATTATTCAGTCTCAAGCTCCTAAACTTTATGTCAATAACATCTAAAATGCTAGTATGATCTGAAACTTAAAATCAAACAAATCTTGCGAGCGGATTGAAAAATAYATTAAGTAAATGACTTTGTTGTTGTTTTTATCTCTTTACAACTGAACAACGTCGATATGATTGTAAGACCATCGAACATAAAACTAACCTCATCWATTCGAACATCGTCAAGTATACCAGAAGAAGCAAACTCTTTCTACAAATTCAAGTGAGATCAAAAATAGTAATTGCAAAGGTATCCCATTAATCCGGCCACCAGATTGGTCGTATCATCGGGGTAGTTTTATAAACAAGGCATGGGAATGTATTCGGTGGGAAATGATGATCTGGGGTCGGTTGTACGAAGGGTGGAATAGCGCTATCCACCGGATAAACCCATATACAACGGTTAAAATCCCATACAAAATCTAAGGAGCGGTTTAAACTTTAACAGGGGATAACTTTATCCACACTTCGTACTACCGGCCTATGTCCATAATAACTGTGCTTGTATCAAGAGGGTGAACGTAATGCTGTACCTCAATGTAAAGAAGAAAAAGCATTACTAAGCCATGTGGGTAAGGCTCGGAAATCATATAAGAGTATGCGCAATAAGTACAAACTGCGGTCGGCCTCTTTACGTTCAAAAGATAAAAGAATGCCTGCATGGCGGTTACAAAGCATATTTCGTAAGACTGTGAAACAGCACGATATCATTTACGTTCGTGTAACCTCGAGTGAAATAGGTGATGTGATGCAATGCAATTTGGTGCAACCATTAAGGTAAGATGGGAATTGTAGTCGTCACAATTGTTCGCGTTAGCTAAAATAGTCCTCCCAAGCCGTACATGAAATTATAGAAGTATAGTTCATGCACAAAGGTGTCTTTAAGGGATATTTATTTAGGGGCTAGAATTAAAGCGACGACTTTTTAAAATCGTTAAAACTCCCACCATGCTTTTTCGTACAAAATAGGCGTCGCTACACAATGTAAAGATATGAATATGAAGACCGCATGGCACTATGATAGACACGATATAGAAATGAAAGAAAGTTATAGTGCTTAGAAGGAGGCAATTCCGGGAGAAGCCCCTCCTTCTAAGCACTATAACTTTCTTTCATTTCTATATCGTGTTTATCATAGTGCCATGCGGTCTTCATATTCATATCTTTACCTGCTCCCAGTCTGGCCTTGTAGCTCAGCTAGTAAAGCATCGGTGTATGAATCCGAAGGTCGTGGGTTCGAATCCCAGCGAGGTCGGAAATTAATTTTTCCGAATTTATTCCTAAGGGACTTGTCCCGGAATTGCCTCCTTCTAAACACTATATAACTTTCTTTCATTTCTATGTCGCTACACAATGCCTATCGAACTGGAGTGTACACTATTGTTAGAACATAGATTGCGATTTAATGAAATAACAAAGACTGACAGGCAATACAAAAAAAAAAACGAAGATGTCCAGTAGAACAATAGGCATTGTCTGACAAAATCATACAATTCTTTGTTTTGTTGTCTCGATCAATCACAAGCTTCGTTATTACGGTAGTGTTCAACCCACTGACCTTGTAGAAGAGCTAGCGAAAAGATAATTACGGACAATCACTGTTCTAACGTAACTTAGTTCTAACCTACTCGCACGAAATCCCTTCTGTCGACCAGACGTTCTTACCTTAAATTTGTTGACTTCTTCAAGGCATTGCCTCAGCACTCTGTCGTATTCTAACTGCATGATAGACTTGTATCTGGAGTGAAGTTCCTCTAAAGAGAATAATTTGCATTACGGTCCAANCGATGTTTTCAATATAAAAATCAATAAACTATTTGATATATACTGCATGATCAAACATTTCCAGGCGAATCCAAGTTGAGGTTTTTTCAATATGACGTCACATGACGAAAACATGACGTCATAACATCTATTGTTTTAAACGTAAAATAATCCCGAAACAAGAAAAGCAGCTTCTATGACTTAAGTCTAGATTTCTCTTGTAAGTTGCTAAATGAGACACTGGTGAAAAAAGCACTCCGCATGCCCACAGCTTTCCCGCCAGTGAGCGCGCGCGTCTTGAAATCTGTAAACAGAGCGCCTGCCGATTTACAGCGACAACACAGAAAACACCACGAAAAACCTATTTCTCAAAGTAGAAATAACAAGATAAAAGTAGAAACTACATACTAAAAGAACCTATCATGAACAATGATTGATGAAAATATCAATCTTATATATCGGTGAACGAGCTTATAAATTTTAAAAAAACTTTCACAAAAATCGCTTTACATGTACAAAGAAAATTAGGGAGATTTCAGCGGGAAAGCTGTGGACATGCGCAGTGCGTTTTTCACCAGTGTCGCTCAATGAAAATTAATTTGCCTTTCAAAGAGAGGTGAATGTCACGGCATTCTGTGASACTCCTGATTTCCTATTAGCATGTAAGATGGCCTTTTGCAAAAAAGAAAAAAACAACAACAACACCAACAACAAAACAAAGATAACCATGACTTACTTAAGYGTTTCGAGCAAATCTAACCGCCGCTTATTAATTGCGTTTTGCTCCAATGCAAAGTGCTGTAATTCACGYTTAACTCCTGGCGGTTCGCTGATTGGTGGACTCTGCATAAACTCGCTGGAACAGAAACAACAGTCATGCATAAAGTATTTCATGCAGTAACCTGATAAAAAGGCGGGAAAAWGCAAAACGCGCGCACCGAATAATGTTCACGATGTCTGCAAATTTAACGTGACCTGCTGGACTCGCATGAGATWACAATTTATTCAAGATCTGTAGTGTTTTCCATACCGAAAACGCTTGATAAACTGATCAACTTTAAGCTGTCTCCAGTCTTCAACTCTTTGCTTCCACCAAATATAACACTGCTTTTCCCTTTGTACATCCGCTAATTTATAGAAGCATGGAAAATATTACAAAATATTACAWTATTTCACAACTGTTTCTTTAGAAACACCGACGCAGCTCATACCAATTTACCGCTATTTTTCCATATTTTTTTACAAAACACAAACCAACACGGCTTAAAATAGCAGACGGCTAACGGTTATAGCTGACAATTTCAGCGTCTTTGCTGTCGATTTGTTCGTCATAAAAAGAATAAATAAGTGAAGGGACAAATTTTGTCTGAAATAAAACTATTTTCATTTATGAATCAGTGCTGTCATTATCTAAAATCTATTTCACCCTAAGAACGCTCAAAAMAATGTCAGTTGGTTTATGAAAGCCCAGAATATTGAATACTCCAATTWCGAGTTCTGGTTTGCTCTGTGTTAGCCTCAAAACCAAGTAACATATTCTTTTGTTTTCTTGATAGCCTGTGAAAACGCATGGAATTTGAAAAGAGAGACAATAGAATTGATGTGAAATCTCACACTTTTATTATCACAATTAGGAATATTTTGCGCACAAATGAGGCTAACACAGAGCATTGGAGAATACTCCATTKTACAGTTCCAGGCGCCATCTTGAAAGGTAGCCAAGCCTTTGCATGAAAGCGAGACAGGAGTTGAGTCTGCAATGATAGATACCTTTTGTTCACACCTAAGACAATTATTCACAGGGTATCTATCACTGCAAGCTCAACTACTGCCTCGCTTTGATGCAAAGGCTCGGCTACCTTTCAAGATGGCGCCTGGAACTGCAAAATGGAGTAGACTATTCGAAACTGGATTATTACGTACATGCTATTCTCTTTCATTCGCGCTCAAATGCATGTCGCTGACCAAAATAAATGCGTTTCCCCCTCTTTTTAACGATGGCTGAGAAACACGCGACCAAACAGTGCCAAGAGAATGAGGATCAAGTTTTTTCGATTAAAAATATATTGTAAATAGCCTGCAAAACAGAGGAGACACACACACCCAAAAAAATACGCCTTTTGCATTAAACGGTCACATGGTAATAAATCCGCCATATTGAATGCGAGAAGAATATAAACAACCTCAAAAACAAAAGTAACTCATCCCGTCAAAATTGACTTTTCTTTGTTTTGAACAACCCAGTTGGTATTTTGCCACATGCAGCATTGTGGATTTTGTTCCATGTGACCGCTTTGCAAAATGCAACTTCAACTCTTGAAATATTATTTTGAACCCTGAATCAACACGACCTATACTTTGCAAACAGAGCTACTTTTCTCATCCGCAGAAAAGTAGCTCTGTTCGAAGAGTACACGACCTACCACTCATCAAGTGTTCAATAAGGTCAGCATATGCTCTGCGATTAGTCAGAACCGTTGAGTTCATATGAAGCGATTCTTTCTCAAGAAGTCTGTGTACATCAGGCGGCATAAGGTGTGCAATCCTCTCCAGGGTTTTATTATAACTCTTGAGAGTCTCGCGGATCTGCAATGAAAATAACAGTTTATAAGGGCAATATAGGGAATAAACGAAATATTAGTTTCGATATATTATTTGTGCAGTCTTAACCTCGAAAGCATGTAATTATTCTATTATTCAGCAGAGATCCTATTGTAATGMAAATACTCTTGACAAASAAGACAATAAAAATAATGCTTGATTAATAGTCCACCAATTTTGACACACTCCACAACATAGAAACTAAACCATATTCAAGACAACTGAAGTTCAAATGTATGGCCTATTCTAGATGCGAAGCCCAAAATCCAAACGCTGATTGGCGGAACGTCTCCGTATAGTACCCACCCACCCCCACCCCCCTCCCTTCACGGGATAGTGTTAAACATACTTTTAGATTTCACTCTACAGTAGCAATCTATTTACCCTACATTTGTATAAATACTTACCATTGAACATCGATCCAATTCGACTTGGTCTAAAGTCTTATCAAGATCTGTTATCCATGACTGCCGCGTAAATGAATGCTGTSCAACGCTATCCCATAGGCTGTGAAGATCTTCTAAGGTGTACTGCAACAGGTCCTGGTCAAAAAAAATTAGTGATACAACATTTTCGAATAGCCGACTTTAGATATTTTGGTTAAGTGACCATGCACAAAAGAATTGCAGACGAGGCTCCGGGGAAATAAAGAATAAATCAAGATTATCCATATATATTTTTTAATATTGCAAAGAGTTATTTTGAAGTGCACGCTTCAAAATGACCAATCAAAGAGCGTATAATATCGTTTTATTCTTTATTTCCCCGGAGCCTCGTCTGCAATTCTTTTGTGCATGGTCACTGAACCAAAATATCTAAAGTCGGCTATTCTAAGCGACTAACTGCTTTACGCAAAGATCTCACCAAAAACAAAAGAAAGTACGAGAAAATGTTGTAAGTACAATAGCGCTGACAATTTACATTTTTCTGTATTCCCAGAATGCTCATACATGTACCTTTGGTCTTATGGGAATACAGGATTACGAAATTTTCCCGTGCTCTATTTTGTAAGTTTGGTCATGTCTTTGCGCAAGAGAATTTGTTGTTAACTAAAGCAGCGGCTTTTCTCTATGAATTCGAAACTGGAGTATTTGAGCTGGTATCTTAAAACATGCATGCCAAGCACTAAAGCCTTTAGGGGGTTAGTGGTACATGTATACATTGCACTCTAGGCTCAGTACAAACATCTTTTATTCTTGCTGCCAAATATGGCTTGCTTGTGCTGAAGCTAGACCACAATGCATTACGATTTTKTATTTTARAAAAGGTCTGTTTATCAGGGAAGTATTACAGAGGGTAACTATGTGTACTTACATTATCATCATTAATCTTTAGCAAAATCTTCTCGATTTCTATCAGAACAGAAAGAAAACATTTCCGTGTAAAATAAACTTGACAAGACATTACATAGTGATGATATTATTTTCAGTCTATATGATTTTTCTTATTTTTATCAACCATCCATTCAAATGCACACATTCAATCATTCCTCTTCTGCCTAAAATATATTTCTTATATTATCCATCAACTATTATTCATTTAAGGATTGCCATTCATTATTTATCAATTTATCATCCCATTTCTTAATTTATCAAGAAATTCTTACTTTCTAGYTTCTTTCGCAAGTAACTCTACTCTGTGGAATTCCTGTGTTAAGGCAAAAAAAACCTGCTGGATTGGGAGGGAATTCCCAATCTCTCAACACCAGTTCTTCACTGTCAAGATTATGAACACAGGAAGACCAAGAAAAGAMGAAAGTCTATTTCCCTTAGGAGTAACCTGCGAAGGAGGCTACTCTTATATACTTTCATTTGTTTTTCTATTTATTTATTCTTTCATTTATTAGTTTGATACTTTAAAAAAATAATTTATAAACGTTTTTGTTTTGTAATAACTAAAGAATACCAGAATTATATTGTATTAAAGGGACACTGTCAATGACATGCGCAGTAACAGTATTGCCTCTAAAGGACTTTGAAAGTATTACCTTCGTGGTAAATTTAACAAATCGAAATCGCTTTTCATCAAAACTCAAGTGGAACYACGAGCGTAGCGAGTGGTTTCACTGCCAAGTTTTGATCATTTTCTGGCGTCATTTTCATTGTCGATAAGCATACAGACCATAGAAAAGCGATTTCGATTTGTTTTTTTACCATAACAAAGCCGAAAACACAGTAAAACTTTCAAAACAAAATCGTTTCCGGTGCGCGCCGGCTCCATGAGCGAGCGATTCGTCATTTCATCGGTCTGTCCTACGGTCGACAATGACTCTCGACCAATCAGTGCGCGAGAATTCTACAAGTTTTGGTAAAAACATTGTTTTGACACACTTTGGAATATTCTATGATCTGTTTACGTTTACGAGTGCTTTTTTTGTCATGCGTCGCRCCAACTTGGAGTCATAAACTTGAAAACATTAGCCTAATCTTTTCAAGTTTACTCGCGCATGCGTGCCATTGAAAGTGTCCCTTTAATGTCAGCAGAATAATCTACCAAGCATCCTCTGCAGTCATTGTTGTATGACACTACAGGCATATATCTACCTTTATCATCGTCATGTAATGTCTCTTTTATGGACTGACTAGCTTCAATTATTCTTGGCTCTAATTCCTATGAGAAAAWCATGAATTGAATGTGATCAAAGATGTGTTAAGTAATGTGGAGACAGGTGTGAAATGTACCCCATGTCACTTGTAACTGACAGGCCAACATTTTATCTGTAATGGCAGGGATCCCAATTAAGTAAAGATCATTCTATCTTTAATTCTTTGCTCTTTGGCATATACATGTGTAATCGTATTCGCATCAAAGGCCTTCACACTCATTTATTCTAACATCATTAAGTTCATGAACAATTCATAAAAAGGTAAATACAATGGAAAATTATTAAATATAAGCATGACAGCATCCTTAGRGCGGATTTCGTATGACTGTGCAACAGTGTAATGGTACGGTCACAGCGCGAAAATACCAGGTTTTTTGTACAGTCATACAAAATCCACTCTTAAATATGAGCAAGAGATTTGATAATTGTATTTATTGATTTGCATATGACTTTCACTTTAATTAATATCTTGAAGTTTTTAGAAAATGTTTTTGATTAAGCAATATAAAATATTTACACCAAACCTTTATGCCGTTTATGCTAGCAGCTTGAAGTTTTTTATAAGAAATATAAAATGTTGCAGGTGTCTCAGTCTGTCTTCTGATATAAACAACATGGTTGGAGTTGAAAAACACGAGCTTAGTAAGTGTTTCTCTTGCTTCTTGAGACCAACTGTGTTTATATTAGAGGACAGAGAGACACGTGTGGCCGGTGAGCTGTGTCTTTGTCCTCTAATACAAACACAGTCGTCAGCCAATCAGAGCGCACRTTATATATCAAAATTTTATAATGCCCATAAAGCTCTCCTGCTCCTATTTTATTACTTACTGTAAAAATCAACTTACAGAACTAATCAGAGCAAACTCCTGATACATGTCTTCTAGTACAGTGTCATGCCTCTCTTTCCTACTTGCTTGGATTCTTTCAATAATATTAGACTTGCTGTGATTTTTCTCTAACAATAAAAGATAATTATAAGGGACCGTTCATTAATTAAATGCCTCGGGGGGGACTAAATTATTTTATTATTTATTTAAGTTACTTACAAATGTCCAAAGCATAACATTGAACGAGTGCTTTCATTTATTGTACAGCATAAAAATGCTAATGAACATTGTTGCCCAGGGATTTCTACAAGGCAAGCTTACTAAAACTATCTCTTACTTGGCATGTCAGATGACAGACCTCTGACTTCTTGAGCAGCCAGATAGCTTTCAGGCTTGGAATCTTTCTCAATGGCTTCCAAAGCAGCATACCTAATGACATTCAACGTTAAGTCCTAACATCAATAATCAATCTAAAAAAACACAAGTATGTAATTTGACTGTATACTACATTTCATCTACACGGAAAACTACAGTAATATTTATAGTATATCACTTTTGATTAAACTCACTTATAATGAACGGGATTCTCGATATAGGATTCATTCAATCTCCCTTGAGTCCACTCTTTTTGCCTTCGTGATAAAATACCATGTCCAGTAACAGCTCTTGACTCCCTGACTAGTGGTAAAACTGGCGCAGACTTTGATTTGACTGGTCTTCGTTCCTTCTCGAGTGATTCCACTAAGCTTACCTGTAAAAATACGATAAAACAATGCATTATATGATTAAAATTTAACAGTTTGAACAAAACAGTAGCTCAAAGTATTATTCTGGAGTAGTCTAAGCTTTCTTATTTACAAGTAATTGATAAATTTGACAGGATCAGATCGAGGATTATCAACGAAAGTTCATTACAAAAACAACAATTTCAGACAAACGTTTACCTCAGCGTCAAATATTTGCCTAAAAACCTTTTCCTCGGGTACAAGCCTTTGCGTAGAAAT